TCAAAAATCATTGTTTAACATGAAATATTTTAATACTTAAAAATGCCATAACTTTTTGAAAAATTAACAATTTAAAATCATTTTTAGCTTCGATGCGAAGCTGAGAAGGTATTAATTTTACTAAGATGTTGTTTTTTTTTTTTTTTGTCTGTTACCACTTTTTCTCAGCTCTCACTGAACGGATTTCTTTCAATGATACGTCAAAAGATCACAAATCGTATCTAGTCGAAGACATTACCCTTCAAAATTGAAAAAATTTCCCTCGTTCCCCGTAAATGAGGGAAACCTCCAAAAAAATTACAAATTTAAAAATGGCTAATTTTCAAAATTTTTTCAATTTTTTTTACTAAAATCTGCCGTAACTTTTTTAAAAATACGATTTTTGCAAAAAAATTCTTTTTTATATTTTTAACTTTTTTCATTCTATATACTTTATCTTAATTAGGATATTAATAATAAACTAGCAGATCATGTAGCTTTTGGAATAGTCCACCAATTTTTTAAAATAAAACAGTATCTAAAGATTAGCATCGAAGCGTTTTTTTTTTATAGTGATTTTAATGACTGTCAGATATCATTATACTTGATCCATCTATACCACGTCACCACTGTGCCGCGACCCCCCTGTGCTGGGTTTTTATAATTATAAAGCCCATACTTAAATTTAAACCGTACAGTCTTTTTTATATTGTAACCTTAGATATTTTTCTTTTATTTGATATAAATTTGTTGAAAATCTGACCCTTTATCTGCCGTTAGGAGGGGATTTAAAATAGCAAATTCTGCACAAAATTTTAACTTTTTCAACTTAAGATTTTAAAATGATCCGGATATACTCCGAGCTTCAAACATATATTAAAATAATGATAATTTTATGCACTATAAGTTTAAAAAAAAAAAATGTTGTCCCGACGACTTATCTTCTACGTGCAAATGGTTGCTGTAGTTAAAAAACATGCAATATTGGTGTTAAAATTTACGATTTCAGATTTTTATAGTTAAACTTTTTCTACTAAATTTTTGACAATTTTCCGGAAATATTGACAATTTTGTTTAATCTTAAATTAAAGCTTATGTAATATACTATACAATGAAAAAAAAGTTAAGATATAATAATTATATAATACAAAAAGATTAATTTTAACATTTGAATCAGCTTAAATTGTCAATTTTATTAATAAATGAATGCGACGAACGTTTGCCGATTCAGTAAAAATCGTGGCAATGATTTTTTTGAAATTTTTCCTTAATTCTTTTTGAGGTAGAATTTTGCTTTTGGTTTAATCCACCAATTTCTTAAAATTAAACACTATCTACGGATTTGCATCGAAGCGATTCTTATGATAGTGATTTTAATCACTGTCAGATATCATCTATACTAGTTTCAACTATGCCACGCTAACACTTTGCTACCGTTTTTTAAAATTAAATTAAGTTTCTTTTGTACTCTAGAAAGCTTAAATATTACAAACATAAATGTGGCATTCATTATCAATTTAAAACATGCAAACCTTTAACAATATTTTTACCGTAAAATTCTTTCACGAGTCTACAATTATCGAAACCTTAATTTTCAAGGGTCCAAAATCAGTCAACTTTACATATTTTTCAAAAAATCTTTCAATCAACAAAATAGCTACTATTTAAAAATAAGTTAAATATAAATAAAACAAAATTTTTAATAAAAGTAAGGATAAATTTGATATCATTTTTTGACTAGATTTCTGTTTGTAATTTTTTTACTCTTTCAAATTATTTTTGGTGTTATATGTTAATCTATATTAGTTGTATTAAAAATTTATAGATGTTTTTTTTTTTTTTAACTTTAATTTATTTGAGTAATATATCTTACTATTTATTTATTTCAGTGAGTATTTAAAAAATAATTTTCTTTAATTGTTTATTATCTATTCTCTGTTTCATGAATTATTCTACTGCATTTGTTAAACCATGAGAAATTGACGAAAATACAGAGAGCTCTTCTACAATGTTATGCATAGCATAAGTATGATAGGATTATAGAAGTATAAACAAACTTTGTATCGTGAGCTTTAAATATAGATAATCCTTCAATTAATAGTATAAGTATCGATCATATGCGTAATTCCTAGTAATTTATTTCTATGTGGTATATAATGCACGTAATAATTATAAAATTATTACTTAAAATTTAATTTTAATATTGTTACTCATGTAGAAAATTAAATTTTAGTTTGCCATTTGTGATTTATTTATTATGATTATTTATTAATGTCGATAAGAAATTTTATGTGATATGGCTTGACTTTTTACTTTTAAAAAAAGTTCAATAAAACTCTAACCTTGCGGGCAAAATAAAGAGTACTTTTCTGTCATGACGTTACATAGTAATACGTTTATAGCTATAACTTAAAATAAGTTAACAACTTTTCTATTGTGATTATTCTCAAGATTCAATTCGATTTCACTAATTTAATTTCAGTATTTCATACAAGTATTGGTGTTCTTTAAAACATAATATAATTAAGTTTTCATAAAACTAAATAAATACAATATAATTTATTTTTCAGTATTTAATTTTATTACCTGTACTTTGATTACATATATATGTATATTTTTTCAATTTTTTCTTGTTTAATCATCTTTCAATTGTATTCTAGAACCTACTCTATTGGACCGTTAATAATAAATTATTATTTTGATACCTAATAATTCATTTTTTATTTAAATTTGAATTATAATAAAGTCACCAAAACTAGGATTATGCAGCCCAAAAATAACATTGTACTTATAATATGTGTATATCAATATACGTAAGGTAAATTATATCTTTATTCTAGAGGAGAGAGCGTTTAATGAGGACAACAAATATAAAATAGACATTTATATGTCATACATGTTCTTTCTTTATTAGTCCGTTTTATGCACTATAATGATTATTCTTGATCATTTTATATACATAAAATATAGAACTTCTAAATTAAGATGAACAAAGGCAATGTATTTCTCTTGTTCCTGTCTTCAATCTATTTCTTCACATTTAAATAGTATGAAAATCTATTACAACATTTCGAAAAACTCATTTTTTGTATACTGATATAAAATGATTGTTAAATGACACCCTGTATAAGTCACATGAAAAATATTTTTTATATTGAATACTAAAGACTTCAATATCATAATTGTTAAGGATTTAGTGGATTCGTTTGTTTGTATAAAATATTATTCATTTGGTTATTATTACTAATAAGAGGAAGTTTAAAATGGTAAAAGTTAACAAAAAATAAATAAATAATTTTTTTATTTTGGCTTATAATTTCATTACTTAAGAAAATATGATTATCGAAGACTTCCAAAAACTTCCTGAACTCTCAACCCGGAGACTTATGTTGTCTAAATCTGGACATAAGATACATGTTTGTAAAATTAAATTTTAAACTCATAAGTATTTAAAGTTTTTTTGAAAAATATTTTTACAATAATATTTAATATTAAATAATAGTAGCATGCTAAAACTGTATTTTAAAAAATTAAAAACTTATAAATATAAACATCTTATAATATAATTATTGATTTTTCATAATATGATTATCTAAAAATTAAATGCATAACGTCGTTTTCGTGGAAAAACTGTTTAACTCGAAAGAAGAAAATAAAAAACCTTTTTTGTATTGTTAACAATTTAAAAAAGTTTTTTAATACTCGATTATCTCAAAAAATAATACGAATATTTTATTTAAAAAACACATAATATGCGTAAACATTTGTATGGATTATTAAAAAAAAAAAAAAAAATACCGAGTTACGTGGTTTTCATATTGAGTCTCGATAAAGTGAAAAATGTTTAATTATTACAAATCCAAAACAAAATCGGACACTTATTGTTATTTTTATGACTAAGTCATATAGTCATAAAATTGTATTGAAGTGTTAACATTTATATTTAGTGTTAAGAACATTGATTTAATTATGGAGGTATATGGGTATCATTACCCCATAACAAAAATAATTATTATATAACAAAGATAAAATTATTTTTTCGGACGAAGAGTGAAAAATTGTCGAATGTATATTTGTCCCTCAAGACGAAATCCTTTAAGAAACAATCTTAAATAAAATGGTTTGATAAATGATTTCTTTTCTTGTAAATAGAAAAAGATATCAAACAAATTAGCTTTTAAAAGAAAAATGATTATTTCGTCATTCAATTAGTTCTAGAACCACGTATGCTCATTACTACAGTAATAATTTTAATTTTCAATATAATGTTTATATATTCAAAAATGTAATTAATTTAAATGCACATTTTAGTTTCTGTTTTTTCTTTATGTAAACTAATATGTTTAAAGTCATAAATATTTTAAATCTATTTGATTGTTTATTTCATATTAGTACTTAAGATTATAACATCAAAAGTTATTTAACACTTAAAACTTCTTTTCAACAACTACAATGATTAATGCATTCCAAGAATTCGACTGAATGTGATACTTTATGATGAATAATGAGAATTAAGACACATTAATCTGAATTTTGATTAAATGCAAAAATCAATAAATAATTGTAGAAAATAGTTTGTAGATTAATGAAAACTAATTCAGTTTAGACACAAATGAAAGATTTGAGCGTTTCACATCTTATATATATCAGACAATTTTTATTAATAATGACTTAAGTTATGCCTTTTAGTGATATAAGAACTGGCAATAACACCAAAAAGACCCTTATCAAGTTATGCCTAATTCTTCTTTTTATAAGTAAATATTTTATCCTTATTGTCGTTGTTGTAGTGAAATAAATTCCCTAAAATGTTCATTTGCATCTCTTGAATAATGATGAATTTACTATCATAAAGGTTGACGCTCAAAACCCTTAGAAATTCTAATTTTATTGGCTCCATTGTGGACTGGATTGGCTGTAAGGCGTCATTCTAGGCAAATGGCAGCGCATGGCTGACAGACGTAGCAGTGGCGACCGGAGATGTACTAAATGGCGTCCTTAGGTCGCGCCGCACGCCACCCGAAAAACAGTCAGTCAGTCACCGGCCGGTCGTGCGTTACGATGACGCGACGAAACCTTGCGTGCCGCCGGCCGCAGCAGTAGCTGCCGCGCGGTCACCATGTGGTCGCCGGCCACTGTACGGCTAGTGGTATTCTTAGGCTTCTATGTGTCCTTCTTGGTCATAGGAGCGTTCGTGTTCTCCGCAATCGAAGCACCAGAAGAAGCTACTCGAGTCAGAGAGCTTAAGATACTTCGACAAGAGTTCCTCGACAAGCACAAGTGTGTTCAAGGTACTTATATACGACGGCTCTCAGTATTTTTGTAAAAAACTTTATTTAAAATTGTAAATACTTTTTTTTGTTAATATCATGATGTCACATCACAGTCCCTTAAAATATGCAAATTACAATAACTTAATATATTCATATAAAATTTTTAAGCGGGATTATGATAAAATGTGAGAATAATCAGTATAATTAATAAGGATCTAATAATAGTAGAATAATTAAAATTTACAAGTTATTTGATTAAAAACCTGATAAAATTTTTAGTATTTACCTTAAGAGAATTTACAAATTCTTGATTAAAACAAATTTTGAAAAATTTTTATTATATAATAAAACCGGGAAACGTTGACATTTTCATGTGTGACGAGACAAATAAAAATTACATCAAAACCATAAGAAATGACATTAAACTGGCATTTATTAAATTCCGACGTGAAAATAATACAATATTGAAATATAGAATGTCCCACTATGATTTACTAATTTGATTATATAAAGCAATAATAAAATTAGTAAATGACCGTGGGGCACCTGTTTATATTTCTGATTATTAAATAATAGGTACTTTTCAAAACTGTTATTTGTAGAGGCGATTTAGTACAACCAATATCACTCTTAAATATTTTTAATATAGTTTTTTTTAACTTAAATATTTTTAAGTTCCATGAACATTTTAAGCTATACAAAACACATGTTAAATTAGTTGCTTAGTACATACTTCAAAGAATCTTTGTCCAACATAAAATTATTTAATTTTGTTTTTGTAGTGTAATTTTATTAATCACATACGTATTTCAAAATTTTGAAGATTGCACGCTACTGATTTTTTCGTTTTTCTAAATTAAAGAGAAGCTATTATTAACTGAAAACAAATTTTGGGGATCTTTAACGGAATAAATGTTGTTAGGCACTGTTTTAGACAAGAAAATACACATTTAATTGATGAAAAGTTTTTAACTGTTCAGAGGAATAAGTCTCTTTAGCGTGATCATTTTTAGTGCATCTACCACAAATAATTTAAGATTCTCTAGAGTTCATTTAAAAAATAACTTTTTAATTTATGAAAATTATAATTACACAATATTCTTCAGAAATAAGCTGAAGAAATTTTTCAACATAAATATTTTAAATTATGTCTTTTTTTCGCATAAAATGAAACATAACACAGAATAAAATGTATTCAAAATATTATTTTTGGTTATTTCTTGAATAAATCAAAGTGAAATGATAATAAATTGTTATCATTGTTTTGTGTGATTACATCTTTGTTACTTATTAAGACAAAAAGAAAAACAATTAAAAAGTGTTTAATTTTAACAGTTATTTTTATGACAATTTTAGCTATATAACTATTGTTTTCAGTTATTTTTTACTGTCGCAGCACGATTATTACATATAATAAGAACGGTTATAATTTTATGAGAATTCATTGTTATAAAATGGTTATTAACAATCTAATAACCGATGAAATGTTCTCAAGTAATTTGTAAATCGTGTCTTAAACAAGAGTATTCATATTATATTTATTTTTTATAAATACAACTAAATGTACTTACTTACAAATGCATACAACCACCTAGAATAATATTAAATTATTTTAGCTTCGATGCGAAGCTGAGAAGGTATTGGTTTTACTAAGATGTGTTTATTTATTTTTTATTATTTTTTTTTTTTTGTGTCTGTTACCACTTTTTCTTGGCTCTCACCGAACCGATTNTTTTTTTTTGTGTCTGTTACCACTTTTTCTCAGCTCTCACCGAACCGATTTCTTTCAATGATACGTCAAAAGATCACAAATCGTATCTAGTCGAAGACATTACCCTCAAAAATTGAAAAAAATCCCTCATTCCTCGTAAATGGGGGAAACCACCAAAAAAATTACAAATTTAAAAATCGCTAATTTTCGAAATTTTTTTTACTTAAAAGTGCCATAACTTTTTCAAAAATGAACATATCAATATAACTCTTTCTTATATAAATGCATGATATCATTACCTTTCATTTGGTATATGTTTTTCATAAATTTAACCCTTAACCTGCCCACAAGGGAGGATTTAAAATGACTTTTTCACAAAAATTTAACTTTTGAAAATGTTCCGAAAAGTCTGACACTTTTATATATATCTTAAATTAAAGCTAATGTAATATACTAAATTATGCAAAAAAAAAATTTCGAACTTTATTTTATCTTCACGGTGAAAATGGCTACCGAATGCTATTTTTGTGTGAAAATTCTCGATTTTATTTTTTACATTTTTAACTTTATAATGCTATGACATATTGAAAAGTGTATGGATCAACATTATTTTTTTATGAGAAATAATATTTTTTAATAATCCCTTTTTCATTCGACATACTTTATCTTAATCAGGATATTAATAAGGAACTAGCAGATAATGTAGCTTTTGGAATAATCCACCAATTTTTTAAAATTACATACTATTTAAATTTAATTACTAAAATTGTTATTTATTCATATATAATAATTATAAATCAAATAACTAATCGGGATAAAATTAAGGGATTAAGAGTTATTGTCGTTTTTTAAATAATCTACCAATTTCTTAAAATTAAACACTATCTACAGATTTGCATCGAAGCATTTTTTATGATAGTGATTTTAATCACTGTCAGATATCATTATACTTGATTCAACTATGCTACGTCACCACTGTGCCGCGACCCCCTTTGCTGGGTTTTTTTTAAATTTACCTTTGGTAAACTACATTCTTATAAACCATAGTAAAATGATCGGAAATAGTAATTTTATGTATAAAATAAAAGTATGCGTGTACGAATTTCGTGACTTTTTTGGAACACAAAAATAGATACTTATTTTCTTAAATTCGCCATCTGTAGAATATTCTGCTTTAGTTTTCAATCCTTTTCACCTCAATACAGAAAATAATATGATAATAATACGACCTACGCTCCACTCATCCCATTTCTTAACATTGAACTCACTAAGATTGAATCGATAACAATATTATTCCCTATTTTTTTCCATGTTGCATAGGATTGTTATTTTTTGAAACTCTATCAAGAACTGTAAATGCGTAATTGTAGGGTAAAAAATCATAACATGGTACTACAAAAAAAAACATTCAGTAAAATATATAAATATGGAAATAACACATTTTTCCACTCAACAAAGTATCAATAACATATTGTTTTGATTAAATTGAAAATCATTCTATGTATCTCAATACCACGTGATAGACATTTTGATTAAAATTTTGACATTATCACAATTCAACAAAACCTATTTTAGTTTCATGTATATATTTTAAATATAGATCAATGGCGTACACCAGGATACTATAAATTAAAATTGAATTAGCTTTTTATACCAGTAGTTTTATTTATATCTGTAATATACATAGAATTTTTAAATTAAAATTTTAACTATTGAATTATTATTTTGATAATTATATATAAATATAAACTTTAACAGTTATAATTCATGTACATGAATAAATAAATAATAAATTTTTTTATTATAGTTTCGTTATTTTTTTGTAAAAAATCATTTTTAAACAATTATAAACTATACATTATCTTGTTTATGTCGACAGATATTTTAAAATTCAATAGTTTTTAGGTGATCTATGTGTATGAAAAATTTCCATTAACACCTATTCTTGATGAATATTTAAAAAACATCAGGAATTTGTCAACTACTGTTGGTAAATTGAATCCTTAAACTCGGTAAAAATATGCTAACTAAGTTTATTGACATAACTTGCATTACTCATTTCATTGAACTTAGTTTTAAAATATAGAATTTAGAATTAATACTCTTGTATGTTCATCAGTCAAATATATTTCATTTGCGTTCTGACATGTATACAATAATGAATAATTTTTGTAATACATTTCTAAACGTAAATATTTTCTGCATGAATTTGATTAAAAGAATGTTTATTAATTTCAAAAATTACTCTTAAAGGGCACTATTCTTAAGAATTTTCATTCACAAAGTCAGTGACATGGAGTTTCACTTCCAATAGCAGATTCTGAACCAAAACCAGAATATTACATTATACTATGGTGTATAAATTTACATACGTTGTCATTTGTTATGTAAACACCTAGTGGTTTTGTATCTACAAGATAAAGGGTAGAGATGTGCACATAAATCACAATGTATACAGCCAGCACTGATTCATATATTAAGTATTAAAATGAAGCCAAATTATAAATAGAATATTATTATAATTACGAGTAAATAAGATCAGGAATTTATAATATATCCAGAGCATTTTGAATTTGTCATTATTTGAAGAACAGTTTTCAATATTTGTAAGTATAAATTACTAGATGAGAACATAACTATTCTCATCTAGTCAATTTTCGTTAACCAAAATATATGAAAACTCATTTTTTTTGTACTTACTAATACGAACTTTTAATTCGATGCAAAAAGGTTTTTATTTCGACCTGCTTTAAAAACTACGTTTTTATTGACAGTATATTAAATTAATATATATATATATATTTGATTATATAACCCTTACACGTAAAAAAAGGGTTACTGTATTAATTACTACTTTTTGAAAAATTTTAGAACGTTATTATGTACATTTAATTCACTTAATATTTCTACAGAATAGTGAACCATCTAAGGCTAGCTGGATGAATATACCCTCTTAAAAATATTATAATGTTTCCATTGCTACAATATAACACTTAAAATTATATTTAGCAACATAAAATGTGTGGAACCATAGGCGTAACTATAATAATAAAAAACATACCTAACTTTCTAAATTTTTCCGGAGGGTTATTTCGTTAACTGGAAGGTTAAAGTCCTGTCAATTCCTTTTCTGGAATTGCGCCTGTGTGTGAAACTTGAAAATTTATATTTTAAAATGTATATTAACATTAAACATGAATAATATTATTCTAAAGTTTTAAATATAGGAAGATATGACTATAGGTGTATTAACAGATTAGCAGATATAAAAACTATAACAGATTAATTTTTTTTTTATTTTATACAT